CAAGTACTCAACATGTCATGTTAAAACTCAGTGCAGTGCATTAATGCATCTTGTTACCTTCTGGTGAAGGCAGTTTATTCTAACCCAATCTTGCCAGATGTTAGGGAAAATTATGGCTGTCTTCCTTCTTCACTCAAAATTATTTAAGAAAACCAAACATAGCACAAGGTAGCAATAACAGCATCCATGAAACTGATGCTCACACTCCAACCACAGACTTTGGTTGAGAAAGCACTGGCAAGAGGGAGATTGGCATGAGTACCAGCTTCAGATTGTGCCCTTCTACACTGAAAAGCTACATATTCCCTTTGGGGGACATCTGCCTGTGGAATCCATTCTAATGATTCCTAAAACATTTCCCACATATTTGAAGTCAGGAAGGTAGGGTTGGATGGGGTATGGTGGAGATTGTGATGACAGAACCTAAAAAACCAAAATCAGCTCCTCAGTGATCAGTTTCAGTGGAAGCTGAAGCCAGCTTTCAAGTATTCTGTTGAAAATTATTTCTGTATTCTGTTGTGGGAAGGGAGTGTTGACCTAAACCTTTAGGCAGCATCATTGTTGCTGCAGCTGCAAACCAAAGCCCATCCTAGACAATGTGTGTGATGAGTCTTTTAGTGTTAACTCACTTTGAATGTTGTTGTATGTATCAACTTGTGTATGTGTCAGAGTACCTTGCTATGTCTGTATGAACATGCTTCTTTATTCATGCTGCTTTGCATCTCTTAATGGATACCTGTTATTTGTGACAGCAAGTTTTTCTTTTGGTGGGAGCAGGGGCGCTCTTGTGATTATGGGTACCCTTGGCAGCCTACCCATAATCACATGCCATCCCCATAGTTCTCCTAGCCAAAGAGGGATTTGCCAACTTGGGGTCTCCTCAGTAGTTGGTCTTGGCCAGTTGAGGAAAAAGACCCAAAACTCCATTCATCTCAAGTAAAAGCTTAAATTAATAATCCAATTCTACAAAGAATCTCTTTTGTGGAGGCAAAGATAAAAAGAAAACTCAGTTTTATTAGAGACCAAGGAAAAAAAAAAGTTGAGAAAAATAAACTGTTGTTCTTGACCCAGTTAGTCCTGTTGGAATGTGTTGAAGTATAGAACAAGGCCAATAGCAGTTCAATGAACAGCAGCACTGCTCCCCCCGCCCCCAACCAAACCCTGACCACCCCAGTAATTGAATGGGCCCATTGCCGAGAGTGTGTGAAGAGTGGCCATTTGGCTAAGACATACCTGAATAAATGGTATTTGAAGCAGTGCCCTGTCACAGGTACAATCTCATTTAGAAGTAAAAGTACATGAAAACTTTCTGCTAAATAATAATGAATTCACTGAGACTTAGAGGAAAGTGGTTAACACAGCCCTGCAGTCGGAAGCTTACTGCCTTGTGGTAATAAGGGTGTAGAGTGTAAAAAGGACCTCTAGTCTTTGCTGAGCTGGCTGATCTTGTGGGATGGTGGTCTTAATGTCCTTGGGTGAGAGAAACAAGTTTCATTGGTGGGCACCTTTCATGGAATCCCAATGCATTTACAGCCAAAGTAAATCTGAAGTGCAGTTACTTCATGTTGGAAATATGGTAGCCACTTTATGCACAGCAAGTTCCCACAAACCATAGAGAGATAATCTGACTAATCTGTTTTTGATGTTGGTTGATGATAAATAGTAACCAGAACAAGATTTTCTCTGCTCTTAAAGTGCTTTGAGATCCAAGTGCAGAAAGGTTTATCTGAAATCCAGAACCTCTGACAGTACAGCGCTGGTATGTCAGACTGTGCCCTGAACTTCCGCCTATAGGGATTTTAATTCACAGGCTTTCAACTCAGGATGAGTGTAATGCACTCTCGTGGATAAAGGAAAGTCCCATGTCACAATTGGATGAAATAGCAGTTTTCCCCAGTGTAATATTCATTTGTCAACCAACACCATTAAAAATGAAGTATTTAGTCATTAGCACATCTGTTTGTGGGATCTTGTTCACTTAAGTTGGCTGCCACATTTCCTATCTTACATAGTGAGCAAGCTTCAGAAATCAATATTGACTGTCAAGTGCTCAGGACATCTAAAAAAGTTAGAGAATGCATTAACTTCTTTTGAGGGAGACATTCATCAACAGTAACTAATACTCTGTTCAGTCCTAACATTTGGGGATAACATTCAGAAAAGACTAATGTTGTTAATATCATGTACTTCTATGAAAGTTAGCATAGGCAGCAGAAGCTGAGAAGTCATGGCCTTCATTTACCCCAATGAGTAAAGACTTGGAGAACCAAGAAATTGGCAACATACCTTATGGAGACAGGGTGAGGAACAGTAACAGTGGAAAGATAAACATTTTTCACACAAGCTGAATGGATTGAAGAGCAATATATTTCTGTACTTTGTTTTATGAGAGGGGAGAGGTCTTTGCCATGTGTGGAGCAGATTCATAAGGATCTCCTGGCAGAGTATGGCATTATACCTCAAGGGTCATGGTGAGATAGAGAGGGAGGCAACTTTAAGGGTGGGGTCCACTGAATACGACAAGAACTTAATTCAGTCCTTAGAGCTGAACTTTCAAGTTTAGCTTGTTCATTGGTCAAACAGCTATGGGATGCTCAGGCACAGAAAGTGAAACTTTCACCACCGCTATTGCCCAATCAAAATGGAGACCCATGTTGCATGGGCTATTCTTGGAGGGGGAAAAGCCAACAATAATCACCCACTGCCAATGACATTAATTTCTCAACAGTGAAACCTCCTTTACTAATCATTAAGGGAGCAAACCTTGAATATTCCTTTACCAATTGAACAGAAGATTCAGCAAAGAACTTTAGAATGAATATTTGGTCTGGTCAGTTTATACAACAGCACGAAGAGCAAAGGGTGTCTGTTTCCAAACTTCTTGCAGTTTTAATAAAAGGGGCAATGAGCATGTTTCTCTAGGTTTATAATGGCACCAACGGCCATCTGAATATAACAGTTGGTGACATTGATAAAAAGGTGTTGGATGACGAGTTTGATGTCAGGCTATGACTGCTCTCCGTTTTATTTACTTGGTGATATTAGTAAATGAAGGATAAACTGGTTGAACTTGACGAAGGTATTAACACATTCGAGAATTCCCACCTGTACAAAAATAACAGCTGACTATCAACACGAACTTCCTTTGCGCCTCAGCCCCTTTTGGGTAGGCTAACAGAGCGAAAATCCAAGACATTAAAATTAGGGAATGTCTCCAAACTACCATTTCTAAAAAACAAACAAAAAAAGTGTCCGTCCGCTAGTTTCACCACCTTTATATTCTGCCTCATGACAGTAACATTGTCGAACGGACCTCCAATTACCTTTCTCTGCAAAGTAGTGGCTCGGTTTTGCCAGGCAGAGAGGTTAGTAAACCGGGACATTGTCCCTTTAACACAGGTGCTCCTTAAATAGCGGGCTGCACCTTTAAACCGAGTACAGTTTTATCAATAAGTACCTTTGATTCTGCATCTTCAATTGTTCAACATTAAACCAGCTGTATGTTTTTGCCTTACTATTGCACGACAATTTAGAGACGCTTCCTAGTTTATAAAACTTGTGCGACCAACTGCGAAAGGCAGGGCGCTTGGATTAAGAGACGGGAGTTTTTTTTTTAAATCGGGGGAATACAAAAACATCTGATCAATATTATTTATTACAATTAAAACCTAAAATTGAAACGTGACCGAACCTTCTGGGTCATAAAGTCAATTTCTAACTTTATCCATTCCACTTTTAAAAATTGTTTGAGGTGGATGAGATTGTTTTTGTTTTAAGCACAGCTAATATTTTAATGTGACTGTCTTAGTTATTTCCTAAAGAGAATAATATGGACTATCTTTTTGCACTTTAACACGTTACGATCTACTAGTCCCAGCCTCACTTCAAACTCTGCTGCACGGGAGACCGGTGTATTTTGAAGGTTGGAAGATTCCCTGGGATTAGCTCCCCAAACTTTTTAAAAATTCCTTAGTTTTTTTTGAGAGAAACAGCATGTGCTGGCTCGTGTTGTTATAGCTGGTAACTGTAAAGCAGTCTCAAAAATACAAAATGAATCTGGTGGTCTCACTAAAAAAGTGAAGGAAGGTTTCAGGGGAGGAGAAAAAAAAAAGACTGTCTACATAACTTGGAGCTGTAAAAAGATGAGTTCCAGACTCGGATTCTAACCCAGAGAATAATATAAACCGCGATCTAGTCTTTAATTTACATACACAATGCTGCCCTCCCAACGCTTGGCTTACTGTTCTCATGTTTAACACGTTGAGCAGGCATTTCAATATTGGTAGCCGGGGGCCAAATAAAAAGATAGAAGTCAGTAAGTGTTAAAATAGTGGCTGATTATTGTATTTTTTTTTAAATGGTAAGAGAAGCCGGAGCAATAATTGACAGCATACGCCTCCTCGCCACACTGCATTGTCGACCCACACTGCACTTTACAATTTGCATTTATTAATCCTTGCATTAAACGATGAGACATGCTATGAGAGAGAGAGACACAGACAACATCGAATTGGATCACGAAGCAACTTTTCTACAAAAGAAAAAAAAAGTGAAACAAGTTTGAAGTGTGAGAGTGATCTGCCCAGGAGAGATCAAACCACATTCGGGATTTTTTTTAAAAAAAGTAAAAAGTAAAAGTTAGAATTCCAAATATACAACCTGCAGCTGGAAACTGTGTAGATCTGCTCCAGTACAGAATCCCAGAGACTAAGAGAGGCGCACCCAGCTAATTTCAACACTTAGATTTGCAACACTGACACAAGAAAACTAAATAAAAATACACAGACTAAACGTTAAAATTTAAAAAATTCTGGAAACTTTTGAATCAGAACCTATTTGTTAGAGAACGCTCCAAAAATACTGCGAAAGTTTGCAGTTTTGAAACTTTGCAAAGATCTAAGAAAAGCTTTAAAAAAAGTTTTGTTTTATGGTGGCGTGGAAATCACACACACAAAAAGTTGGGAGTTTGATAAAAAGTTTCAAAAGTTGTCAGGACGTACCCGAAATAGGCAGTGGCGTTGCCGATGGTCAGAAAGACTATAACAACGAAGAGTTGCCATCCCAGAAAGCAGTGTCCATCCAGCATTTTGCTGTACCGGCTCGAAAGCTGACCATCTCGTTTCGTATTGAGGTTAGTTTCTGGTGAGTTTCGCGATCGCGGCGCCTTCTTATAGTGAGCCTGAGAGCCAGGCGCAGGCGCGCTGGCCAGTCCGCCTCCCCTCCTCAGTCAGCAAGCACCACAACAAGCGGAGCACTGCCAGGGTGGAGCTGCAAGCAGGGAGGGAGAGCCAGAGAAAGGCAGTGCCGGCACCGCTTCTGACAGGGACAGGCAGCTGCAACCGAGGCTGCGGCATCTGACACACACAGACAAACCGAAAGTGGAGAGATGGAGTGTGCTATAATGAGGATGGCATTAGAAAAAGGGGCGGAAATTAGAGATAAGAGAGGGAGAGATTGAATGAAAGAGAGAGAGATTCACTCGGACAGAAGGAGCGAAGTGGAAATAGGCAGATGGAGACAGGTTTGGAAGCGGGAGAGACTCAAAAAAAAACTGGAATCAGACACAGGACATTTCAGTTAAACAGAGTGTTAAAATTAGGCAAAGGTATGGAATTAAACAGAGGGTTGGAGAGATCCGGACTGAAGTAAAGAGAAGCAGCTAGAATTACAGGGCTGGATTCAAAAGTAATCAAGAATTAGGCAGTGATTGTGCATCAGAGAGAGAGCTGGCATTAGATTGAGGAAGTGACCTAGGATTAGATAGAGTGGGAGCTGGAATTAGATTGAAGGAGAGAGAGCTGGGAATTAGAGTGAGATCTAGAATTAGGTTCAAGGAGAGAGTTGAGAATTAGACAGAGTGGGAACTGGAATTAGACTGGAGAGAGCTGGGATTAGAGAGAGTGGAAATAGGAATTAGATTGAAGGAAAGAGCTGGGATTAGACTGAGGGAGAGAGCTGGAATTAGATTGAGGGACAGAGTTGGGATTAGACAGAGTGGGATCCAGAATTAGTTTAAAGGAGAGAGCTGAGATTAGATTGAGGGACAGAACTGAAATGAGGTTGAGGAACAGAGTTGGGATAAGACAGAGTGGAAGTTGGAATTAGACTGAGGGAGAGAGAACTAAGATGAGAGAACTGGAATTAGACTAGGAGGGAGGAAAAAACTGAGTTTAGACTAAAACAGGGATGTGGAGTATAGATAAATATACTCTAAATATGACTAATATAACCATGTGCAAAAGGATCTGTGTCGTAGTGGCATAAAATCCCACTGAACTGCGGCCTGTATCTGTAGGACTGTTTTACCAGTGATCTAAACCTTGAAGAGAAAATCAGTGGCAGTCGGGACAAATTAGCCATCACTCGTCTAGGGACTGTACCATTGAATGGAAAGTCCAAACAGAAGCTGAAAAAGTAAGGGAAAGGGCCATTGTTGATTATATGTTTAGGAACAGGAAGGAATAAACAGGCCACAGTAAGTAAAACATTCCAGAAACTAGAAGATGTTTACAAGGATGAGGAATAAATTAGGGCTCAAAATACACACATAGTAAGTGAATGAAGAAACGGGCTGTGGTCTATGCCATGAAGGAATCCCACAAGTGGGAACTAAATCCAACCTATTTTACAAAGGATTGCAAGTCCACAGAAAGAGAGAGAGATAACTGGGTAGTGCAACAGCAGCACATAAGTTTAAACACTGCCCAGTTCTGCATCCAGCAACAGAGGATGTGGAGGGGCAGGATGAACACTTCCTGGGAATGTGGCAGACCCAATGCAAGATTTCAATTCTCCTGATTATAGACATATGGGACAGATTGCAGTATGCCGAGATTATAGGAAATGGCAAGAAAGCTCACTTTAAATTAGATTCAGTAGCAGATCTATTACTTCTTTCAGTTGCTGCCCCAATGGATGATCCTCAGATCATCTTCCATTCAGCTATGGGGCTCAGGAAGTACAAGACAGTATGAAAGGCAAGATGCATGTTACACTTTGCTACAATGGAATAGAGCTTTACAAAGCCTTTGTGTATTATTCCCAATCATTATAATTCTTTATTAAGCAGAGCTGCTAAAAGCTTTCATTGTTGAGCAGTTACTGAAGATTCTGACATTGGCTGAGTGTGCCAGGAATTACATTCCATTACAGACACTACAGCAATAACATTATCCAAGAGGCAGACTCTTCAGTTCTCTGAAAACAGAGGCCTGCAAACAGTGAGGAAAAAAGATGCCAAAGAAAGAGTGATCAACCACCAGACAGCATTCTGGATATTGATTTGCTCTTTCAGCATATCGTCACAGAGAAGGAAATGACTGCTCTGGTCATTCCTTTATTGGAACCAAGACATTGGATCTTATTGTACCTTTATATTTGAGTGGTTCTGTTCCTGAAAAGTTAGCTATCATCTTTTGAGGAGAACAGTATTTTCTTGAAAAAAGTAATTAAGAAGTAAACTTGTCTTCTTATTTTGTAGAATTTACCAAGAATATGCAGCAACTGCGACCAAAGTCAGATGAAAGGGTCATTCCCAGTTAGAAGGCTAGACCATATGAAGACACAAATTAGGATATGAAGTAGACCATTTGGCCCCTTGAGCCTGTTCTGCTATTCAATAAGATTACAGATGACGTGATTGTAGTACAAATTCCAATCAACCCCTGGAAATCGCGATTCTCTTGTCTAACAAGAATCTATCCACCTCAGGTTTACATATAATCAATGCCCCTACCTCTGTAGCCTTCTGAGCCTGTCTTCCAAAGACCATAGGATCATCTGAGAGATCAAAGAAATCTCCATATCCCCATCCTGAAAAGGTGATCCTTAATTTCAAGGTAGTGTTCCCTAGTTGTGGACTGACCCACTAGCAGAAACATAGTTTCCACATCCATCTTGTCAAGACGATTCAAGAATTATACACTTCATCAAGTTTCCTCTCACCCTTCTAAACCCCAATGGAAACAAGCCCAAATTATCCTCATTAGATACACCCTCATATCAATCCAGCAAGCCTCCACTAAACCACCTCCAAAGCATTTTCATCCTTCCTTAAATAAGGGGACCAAAACTACATTGTATTCAAGATGTGGTCTCACCAATCCCCTGTATAACTGAAACATAATGTCCTTGCTTTATGTTCAATTCCATTGATAATAATGGATGGCATCTCATTAGCCTTCTTGATTAAATACTATACCTGCATACTAACTTTGTGACTCATGCACTGGAACACCTAAATTCCACTGTACCTTGGAATACTGCAGTCATCCTCTGGTTAAGGAATATTCTGCTTTTTCATTCTTCTGACAAAGTGAACAACTTCACATTTTCCAAATTACAATCCAACTGCTGGATTTTTTCCCACTCCACTTCACCTATCAATATCCAGTTGCACCTTCCTTATGATTTCTTCACATCATACTGTCTTGGTGTCATCTGTGAATTTAGCTATCAGGCCTTTGCGCCCCTCTTCGAAGTCAATCATGTAAATTGTAGAAAGTTGAGGCCCCAGTATAAGCACAGCACTCATCACATCCTGCCAATCAGACAAAGACGCATTAATGCACATTCCTTTCCTCATTAGACATATCTGTTTTCTGCCAGACAGCCAGCAATTTTATTCATGCTACTATGTTACCCTCCACACTGTAGCTTTTATTTTCCACAACAGCCTTTTATATGATACCTAATCAATTGCTTTCTGGAAATCCAAGTATAGTGCTTTCACATGCTACCCTTTATTCACAGCATGTGTTACTCCTTCAAAGACATCCAATAAATTGGTTAAACATAATTTCCCTTTGATTAAACCGTGCTGGCTCTTCCTGATTACCCTGAGTTTTTCCAAATGTGCAGCTATAATCTCTCTAATGATTGATTGTAACATCGATAGGGTAGGTGGGTGGGTCTGGGTGGGATGCTCTTCGGAGGGTCAGTGCAGACTTGATGGACCAAGTGGCGTCTTTCTGCAATTTAGGAATTCTGACCTTGAGATTTGTCAGCCCAGAGCTTCAGCAGTTTGCTATTACCACTTCCCTCATACTTGCTAAATTACTCTCTCCCTTCCATGTCCTGAATGACCGTGACTGAGAAGTAAGAACGTTTTACTAATGATAGCAATTGAAGTTACAAACATTTCTACAGGCCCTAATGTGACCATGTAATCTGAGCTATCTAAGACGACGGAGTTAGAAACAGATCTTCGATCATGCAGGAAAGCCGTCTTACAGCTTCAGACCTAATTCTTGTCCTTTCAAACTTTAGGCTTGTTAGATCATGGCCCACTTGAGCCATCATCATCACTTGAGGCATTTCTATACTACATCTTTACGATCATACACAAGAAATATCAACATGGGCTTAGCACATTGAGAGAAACATTTAAATCCTTCACAACGACCAATTAAGAACAAATACAACACAGCCAGTACCTTTCAAGTGAGTCTGCTGGTATTACATCAACTCTCTGAATTCTGAAGAAAATTCTAATGATGCTCGTATGGAAATTTATTCTGTTCTCCATGATGTTTCAGTTCTACCTTCCTGTGAAATTCCCATGCCTGCATCTCAGCAGCCCTCACACCTCAATAAGTATCAACACAATGTCACTACCTACAGAAAGAGAAATTCCTACCCTGGAAGTGGTGAAGAAGTCTTCATTTATTTGCCTCCAAAATTATCCTAGGATGAACCTTTGTTTTATTTTCGTCTGTTAAATTCATCCCTAGGCCATAGAGCATCACAGAATGACAGGAAAATGAGAATTCTAATTCATTCTCAAGAGGGCTGTAATTGTTTGAGTCCTGGAGTATGCCCTTTGGAATCACCTTTTTCCATGATTCATCTTCATTGCTGCTACATTCAAGTTTTTTGAGAGCGTCACAGCTCAAGAGGAAGCCATTCTAAGAAACTGCCACTCCACTTCCCCAATGTGTTTACCTTCCAATAAAATGACATGCAAGCACAAACGCCCTGTACACCCACGAAGAGAATGGCCCTTCAAACAATAGAGACTTGTGGTGGAATGGTTTGTCGCGGGTTGGGGGTGGGGGGTGGATATTGGAAAGATGGGACACTGAAATCTTCATGTTAGTAGCGAAGAAGAATACCATCTCTT